GTTGGAGGAAAGAGGGGAGGAGAGTTCGGACATCAAAGGGGGCCCGAGAGAGGAAGCATGGAGGGTGGGCGGGCGAGCAGCAGGAGCATCCAAGGGGAGGGAGCAGGACGGAAGAACTCCCGGCAGAGCATGCACTTACCGTTGGATCTCGACTCGACAACAACTCCGCTGTGTTTACCCGCGCACACGACGTTCTTCACGAACTCAATCTTTGATTCGTTCCTCACCTTCACCCCTTTGTCGCAAGCATCAACAAACCCCTTGCGTCTTTCCTCCTCCTTCTCCTCCTCATTCTCCTCCCGCTCCCTTCCCCTCCTCTTTTTGCCCATCCTTTACCTGCTCTCGCGTTGGAGTAGATCTCGTTCCCGTAGAACCTCCCTGCTCCTCCATCGACGCTGATCCCACTGCTCGAGGAATCGTGGATCTTGTTCCCCTCTACTTGCGGGGTTTTCCCCTTCCCTCTGATCTCGATCTATTTCTCATCTCAGTCCTCCTCCTCCTCCTCCTCCTCCTCCTCCTCCTCCTCCTCCCAATCTACTTCACCTCTCCTCCGGCGTTCTCGAAGATGTCGTTGGACATGATTCTCCCCTCCCCACGTCTCTGACCATGACCCCGAAGCTGCAGAACAGTGTCACCCCTCCTTCCCTTCAACTTGCCCCCTCCTTGCACTTCTCTTCCCCGTTTCCGTCCTGACTCTCTTCCCAGCTTCATCTCTAACATCCTTCCATCACCTCCTCCTCCCCCTCCTGATCCACCACCACCACAACACCACCACAACCACCACCACAACCTCCTCCTCCTCCTCCTCCTCCTCCTCCTCTTCCTCCTACTACTACTCCTCTTCCTCCTCCTCCTCCTACTACTCCTACTCCTACTACTACCTCTTGCCATCCCTCCGACCCCGTCCCGCCCCTTCCCTCCCCACCTGTAGTTCTGAAATATCCTGCACTCCTGCACATCGGGCTCGGAGCCCCCCGATATGACAACTCCGCTCCCGCTGTTCTTGAACACTTGACATCGATCAAGGCATCCGGTGGAAGAGCAGTCGAACACAACTCCGTCCTCCAACCCATCCCTCACCTGCTCCATCGTCAATGGCTCGACTCACCACTTCATCTTCCTCCTCCTTCTCCTCCTCCTGCTCCTCCTGCTCCTCCTGCTCCTGCTCCTGCTCCTGCTCCTGCTGCTCCTGCTCCTCCCCCTCCACCCCCTCACGATTCTCAAACATACTTAAACCTACTTCCCCCATCAATCCACTCCTACTCCTTCCTCTAGGGCTAAGTCTTCCCATTTCCCGACTCCCCAACTTCCCTGCCTCCTCCCCCTCCTCCCTTCCTCCTTGTGCAGCTCTAACCCCCATCCCTCCGTCCCTCCTCCTCCTCCTCCTCCTCCTCTTCCCCTCTCCTCCTCCCCTCTCCTCCTACCTGGCTGTGCTCTATGATCAGGTGCGACTTGTTGTTGACCACCACCCCCGTCCCCTTGTTGGATGCGACGTCGCACTCGATCATCAGCCCATGGCTCCCGTCCTCGAGCCTCATCCCCCCTCCAAACCCTTCCATGATGCGGCAGTTCTTCATGGAGATGGAGGACGACGCTCCCCTGATGGAGATGCAGCTCCCGAAGGCAGCAGAGACATAGCAATTCTCCATCGACAGCTGCCCCTCCTCCACCACCACCACAGCGCTCGTACCGTGTGCTTCCTCTCCATTCATCTGCGCTTCGCCTCCCCCCTCCTTGTCGCCGTCCAGGTCGATGGGTATGTCGATCTGGCTGATGGCAATGCCGCTAAGATGCACCCCAGCGCACCTGACGAGCAAGCAAGGCTCCCTCCTCCTCCTCGATATGATCCCGCAGCCCACGTACATGAGCCCGGACGATACCAGCGGGTCCTTGTGGACGAAGGGAAGGTTATGGTCCCTTGAAACCATCTTCAGAGGCTTGTCAATGACGCAATCCTCCTCGAAGACACCAGTGGCCAGCATGACCGTGTATCCCTCCTCGGATGCCGCTATGGCGTCCTTGATCGTCGAGTACATGCCATGAAGTGCGCCATCTTGCTTGAAGACGGAGATGCTGGCAGCAGTTGTCAGCATCATCGCAGCCGTCGCTCTGCCGCATCTCCTTACGTTGGAGCGATCTCTTCACCGAACACGCCCGTCCTGTCGGGGCTGCAATTGACGAACTGGAGCTGGTCATCCCCGTTCAGGGTGACGTCGTCCTAGTGCGTATGTCAGGGGGGAGTTGTAGAATAGGAAGCAGCGCAAGTGGGAAAGGAGCAGAAGAGGAGGAAGCAGCGCAAGCTGGAAGGGAGCAGAAGGGGAGGAGTAGCGCACAAGGGGTTCGGACTCCTCCATGGCCTCAGCAAGCTCTTAGGAACATCCTGCGCAACAAGTCATGGACTACATGGCAATGAGTCGCTACTCCCTCCCCCTCCCTCCCCCCCCCCCCC